TAAGCAGTTTACAGAGTCAGCCTCTTACCCCCAACAATCTGGGTCCTCATTTCACCCACCTCGGAAGGATGGAAGGCTGAGTCAACCTTGAACCGGTGAGATTTGAACCGCCGAACTGCAGATAGCAGTCATGAATGTATCCCTTCTACAGGTAAGTCCTCAACTTACAACTATTTGCTTAGTGACCATTCAAAATTAAGACGCCACTGAAAAAAAGTAATTTATGAGATTTTCATTCTTAAAAGCTAATATCCCCGCGGGCAACTTGGCAACTGACTCGCATTTATGACAGCTGCAGAGTCCCTGGGTCATATATGATCCTCTTTTGCGACCTTCTGACAAGCAAAGTCAATGGGGAAACCAGATTCATTTAACAACCATGTTACTAACTTAACAACTTCAGTGATTCACTTAACTCTGGCCAGAAAGGTCAACTGTCTTGTTTAGCAACGGAAATTTTGGGTTTGACTGTGATCGTAAATAGAGGACCAACTTAGTAGATTGGTATTTGTTATATGGTTTGAGGAGCCCGGAACAGCTCCCAAAATTCATTTGGAGGGGGGGCACAAAGTTAAAATGGTTTGCTGGATATTAAAAATATTGTAAAAATATTAAATGTCATCAGCCTTTTCATTGGTTTTTTTTTTAAACTAATGGGTTTTTTTTCACGAGAAATATTTTATTGATGCCAACCTCCAATGAGTTTCATATTTGTAATTTTAAGCCGATTCAATAAATAATTTTTCTACAAATGGGTCCATTTAAATTTTTAATACTGTAAATATAGCCTATGCCAACAAAAGCTCTGTTTGGGGTCCTCCATGACTTTCAAAATTGGGAAGGGGGCCCAAGAGCAGAAACGCTGACCTAGATTAAAATTAAAACTGCAATCCCGCACATTTTAATCCTCTTAACATCAGAGGGAGCCAAAATCTCCCCCCCCCCTCTTGCTCCTTGCAACCACACACATTTATTTGAGTTGCCACCAGGCTGATTTGGAGCTTCTGGAATTATCTTGAGGAAGGGATAAAGCAAAACAAAAAAAACAAAAATGAATTCAATCATTCCGGCCCACTTTAACTGCTCTTGGAGGCCTCGGGAGAATTCAAAAACACTCCTTGTTAAGGACTAGAAACTTGGCAAGGCAGAGGGCTTGGCTCCCTGGGGGGGGTTCTGCCTTCTAAATGGAAGATGTGGGCGCCGGAGGTGGTTTGTGGCTTTCCTTGACTCTCACGAAAGGTTAGTATGTGCTTACAAGAACTTTTCTTTTATTTTTTTTGCCCTTTTAATTTTAATTGAATTTCCTAGGAAATACAAAGCATTTTTATGCCTTATCTCTGTGCGCCAGAGGAGGTGCGGCAGCCTCTCTCTGGAAGGCCTGGGAACTGGTTTCACTCAAGGCCAACGACATCCATCACCTTGAATTTTGGCAACAGCGGCAACAGGCACAGCTGGCCACCTCCAACTGGCACGTCAAGGAGAACCAGCTGTGTCCTGATAAAAGCTAAATAAATAAATAAAAAATGAGCCAGGGACAAATGCAGCTGCCTGGGTGACTTATGCAAAACAGTCAAGCCTCGTTGTGTTTTTTTGCAAAAAAACCACCCCAAAACAAAACCACAAAAACAAACCCTAACACACACGATAAGAGGCTGTACGGAGGACACAAAAGGAATTCGTTCCGGAAGACAGCAGAATCCTTGTTCTCGCTTTTGGGATCTCTACCGAGGGCGTCCTTAAGCTTCTAGTCCTCAAGAGAAAGGAAGGGAAGGAAAAAAGAAAGACGGAATGGGAACGGAGAAAGAAACAAAAAGAAAAAAAAGAAAGAAAAAAAGAAAAGAGAAAGAAGGAAGAAAGGAAAGATGGAGAGAAAGAAAGAAAGGAAGGAAGGAAGGATGGAAAGAAAGGAAGGATGGAAAGAAAGAAAGAAAGAAAGGAAGGAAGGAAGGAAGGAAGGAAGGAAGGAAGGAAGGAAGGAAGGGAGGGATCCCCATAACTGCTCAATGATGAGATGGGGTAGTATCTAAATTTAACAAAGAAACAAAATTAAAATGGAATTGGGTTTTTGGATGGAGGGGAAGGAATCCAAAACCAGAATCCAACTGAGATGAACACCTTTTGAACGGTGTGAGAGAAGGAATGGATTTTCAGAGGAAAAAAAACTGCAGACTACAGAAACCAGGAGCACCACTCAGGTGACCCTGAGGACACAGAGAAACCTCCAAGTGCCCTCAACGACCCTCTCAAAGGATGCAAATGACCAGCTGTCTGCAAGGAGCATAAATCCTTCCTTTCCCCACCATCCCAGTCAGAGCTGAAGAAGCTTCTTGGAGGAAAGAAGGGAAACGTTTTCAAAAGAAAAAACAAGAAAGTCCAGTTGCCTCTTGAAAAAAAGAAAAAACACCTTTGGGACAACCATGAGCTGGAGGACTGAGAATCTCTACAGAATCCAACCAAGGCAGTAACTTGGGGATTTGATTGATTGATTGATTGATTATATTTGTATGCCGCCCTTTTCCCCCCCGAAGGGGACTCAGGGTGGCTCACAATTCAAATCAGGGAAGGGGGTACAGACAAAAAAATAAAACAAAACGTAACAATGCATAATTTAAAAACACACAACATACCATTCGAGACGGGGGCAACAGCTCTTTAGCCCCAGGCCTGTCGGAACAGCCTGTTTTAAGGGCTTTGCGGAAGGCCTGGAGGGTGGTGAGGGTTCGAATCTCCACGGGGAGTTCGTTCCAGAGGGTCGGAGCAGCCACAGAGAAGGCTCTCCTCCGGGTAGTCGCCAGTCGACACTGGCCGGCGGATGGAATTCGGAGGAGGCCTAGTCTGTGGGATCTGATCGGTCTATTGGAGGTAATTGGCAGCAGGTGGTCTCTCAAGTACCCAGGTCCAATACCATGAAGGGCTTTATAAGTGACGACTAGCGCCTTGAAGCATATCTGGAGACCAATAGCCAGCCAGTGCAGCTCGCGGAGGATAGGTGTTACATGGGTGAACCGAGGTGCACCCACGATCGCTCGCGCGGCTGCATTCTGGACAAGCTGAAGTCTCCGAATGCTCTTCAAGGGCAGCCCCATGTAGAGCACGTTGCAGTAGTCCAGATTTGGGGGTGGGGGGGAAGAGTCTTTACTTCAAAGGATTTGATTCCTTGGGGTGGGGGGAATTTGGTTTATATAGCCTCGAGCTTCCTATCATCTGCATTTGAACAGAGGGTCCTGTGCTCCACTTTGGTTTACAACGGAGGGGACTTTCCCCCCCCACCGCCTTGCCCCTTTTAATGTTTGGGAGGGTGCAGGGGGGGGGGGGAGAACCATTTGCAGTTTTGCCTCAAGGGACTCGCTGCTCTTCTCGGCGGGACACCCCCCCCCAATCGCGAGTGCGAAACTTACCATCACGTAATGGCGCTGCATCTCCGACTTTTCGCTGGCCAGCTTGTCGCATTCCAACTTCAGGCTGTTAAAGAGAGAGGGAAATTGGGTCGGTGGGCATGGGGAGATGAATCGGGGCTGGGGGCTTCTCTGCCGTTGGAAACGTTGCCCGGATTCTGTTCAGTGACCAAATTTAAAATAGCACTGGGGAAAAAAGTGCCTGGCAACGGAGTCCTCGCACTTATGACCATTGTAGCATCTGCCAGTCAGGTGATCGAAACCCGGGCACTTGTTGCTGAGCTTGAGATCTCACACCATCCTCTCTAAAAAAGTTATTTATTTAAAAAAAAAACAACGGAATGCAGTTTATTAAATATGCCTCCGTTTTCAACTGCATCCAGATTTTTAAAAATTTTAAGGATCAAAGAATGAAGATTTTCAGATGTTTAGGATTATTGCAAAATAATGGTGGGGTTCTGCAGTCCTTCGCAAAATACATAGAAAAGGGATCTCAGAAAGAGAGGAGAGGCAGATCCGGAGATCAGACTGGATCTCTGAATGATCTTCAACAGACTGGCAAGCATGTTTGACTTCAAATGAGGACTGCCTCACGTGGCAACTTGTGGACTTCAACTCCCAGAATTCCAACTCCTGATTTAAAGTATCAAACCATAAGCTTGCTGANCATATGAAGAACGGTTGCAGGAACTGGGTAGGTCTAGTTTAATGAAAAGAAGGACCAGGGGAGACATGATAGAAGTCTTCCAATATCTCAGGGGTTTCCACCATGAAGAGGGAGTCCAGCTATTCTCCAAAGCACCTGAAGGCAGGAGAAAAAGCAATGGGTGGAAACTAATCAAGGAGAGAAGCAACTTAGAACTAAGGAGAAATTTCCTGAGTGTTAGAACAATGAATCAGTGGAACAGCTTGCCTCCAGAAGTTGTAAATACTCCAACACTGGAAGTTTTTAAGAAGATATTTTATAACTATTTGTCTGAAATGGTGTAGGGTTTCCTGCCTAAGCAGGGGGTTGGACTAGAAGACCTCCAAGGCCCCTCCCAACTCTGTTATTCTATATGTTCTATACATAATTTTGCAGATCCTGCTGGAGGGCTTCCAACCAAGTTAAGACCAAGCCATGATTTTAGACACAACCAGGATGAATTCGGTTTGATCCTATCTCTGCCTTCCAAAGCAAACCAAAAAGAAATTTAAGTCATTAAAAAAAAACTTTTCTCTACCCAAAACCTCTGTTGCGTTCATTTACTGAGAATACTATTTTCTCTGCTTTCCATTAAATCGTTCCTTGCACAACCTACACATTTAAGCAAGAAAACAAAATCACCAGCAACAGATGATCAAAATTCACATACCACTAGTCCTTGACTTATGCCCACTCACAGTGACTATTCAGGCCCCCCCGCAACCAGGCTGAATTTATGGCCATTTGTAGCCTCCTGGGCTCACACAACTATTTCTTGTGACGTTTTTGGCAAAACACCACATTTTCTTCTGATTTTTGGCAAAACCAAAAACCAGAGTGAATCATTAGTTCCTTTCATGACTGTGACCTTCATTTAATGACTGCAGTGCTTCGCTTAATGACATCACAGGAAAGGTGTTGAAATCATGAAATAACACAACCCATTTGTTTTATTGCCACAAGTTATGACTGCGGTGGGCGGGCTTCATTAGTACAGAATAGCATTTATTGTCATTGTGTATCACGTATCTGATGAAATTGCTTACAATTTCATTACCATCGCAACTCAAGGGGTTGCCTTCACGGTCGTAGATCACATGGAGAAATATTAATTCCAAAACCTTGGGCCCAGAAAACTCAGGTTTTGTAGTCGAAAAGCCTGAATAGCAATAGCAGTTAGACTTATATACCGCTTCATAGGGCTTTCAGCCCTCTCTAAGCGGTTTACAGAGTCAGCATATCGCCCCCA